GAACATATTACTGCACACAAGAACACACAGTTCTTACTTTTCCCACTCGAGTTCATCAGCTAACTTGATCGTTGGATGTACAATAGGGGAACTAATCCCCGCCCTCTTACGAGTTCTACATGTGTAGACTGATCAACACTCCAATTCAAGAACCAGACTTAAAGTCAGGGAAGGAAGCGGCCCCTCTTCAATACTGAACCGAACCTATCCTATTTTGGATACAACTGATTGTTTGATCTTAGTCATCAACATATATATATGTATATCAAAAGTAAAATGTGATAAAAAGAGAATAGTTCATAAATCTTAAATGAATTCAACTAGTAGATTCAATTCTAGATTACTCATTTCCCTAATTAATTTTCTCCATCTTTTAGTTGTTGTGAATTTTCTCTTTATTCTTGATTTTTTTTCTATAATTTCTTCATCTTTCTTACTCCTATCTTAATCTAGCTTTTCTTTATTTGCAAATAATCACACTTTCCTCATATTTCTCCACATTCACATTATCACTCGTAATTATCTACACACAACTTAGGAGCCAATTTGGATTATTTCCTACAACACCTTCCTCGTGGGATCAACAGATTTTATACTATAACTTGATACTTGTACGCTTGCAGTTTTCTTTTATTTACCCCTCATCATGCACCCATATGAATGTGGTCCCCCCTATTTAAATAAGTGTATGAAAATGAGTCACCTCACTTTCAAGCACTAATTTGGTGTTTGGTACTAAGCATATCCATTATTATATATATATATATATATATATATATATATATAGTTCATTCCCCTCTACTCATTCAAATAGGGGACCATATTAACATGAATTAGAGTAGTGGGAATGAAACGTCTCACTACCAAGCACAAAATTTATGCTTGGTACCAAGTTCCTACATTTCCTTATATAAATGGCAACTAAGTATGCATTATAATACATGTAAATAGACCATATGTTTGCCCTTGTTGCAAAAGTTATTGTGCAGATAATGATCGTAAATGAGTTCTAAATTCTAATATTGTTCCTTCTTAAGGTTTTATTTCCCCAAATTTCATAATATTTTCTTGTCATTCATATTCACGCTACTTGACCAATTTTTTTTAACCTCTAAGGTTCTTATTATGAATTAATGAAATTTTATGGATTTTTTTGACGTTTTAGGGTCATCTTTACTGTAAACTTTATCAATTTCTAGTGTATAATTAAATTAAGGACTTTTCCAAAAAAAAATTAAAATGTTTGTAATTCTAGATTTTTTTTACAAATTTCAAAAAAAAATATATCTTTTTATTAAATTTTTAATATTTTATAATATTTTAGGGTTTCTATAAGTTTTGTGAAATTTTTTGCAAAATACACAATTTCTAAAAAAAAAAAATGGGACATTTTTACTATTTTTGTAAGTTGATTTTTTTTTAAATCGTTCAAATTATGGAATATTTTTTGGGTATGTCTATGAGTTGTAAGTTCTATGGATTTCGGATAATGTCTATCTTGGTTAATCAACACATAATTAACATTTGCCTTAGTTATGTAGATAATTTAGCAATTGAGAATATTTTATGATGTCATCTAATTATTACCTTTATTTTCAAATTTAAATATAAACAAATGATAAAATAAAGAGTTTTATTTTTTTATTTAATAGGTACCAAATTTAAATCTTTAGATTGTTGAAACTATAATTTTTCATATGTTTTCTCTAGTAAATAATTTTTTTAAGTTATGAGATTTTCTATTTTGTAATTTCTTGAGAAGTAGTTGAACGTTGAGATTGAAAAATGTATAACTTGCATCTTATTAAAGATATTTTAATTAATTAATTAGAACATGCTCACAACAAAATCATGTTAAAGATATTTTTATTAACTAGGATAATTTGCCATGTATGAAATTATTTTAGATTTTTTCGTACAAATTTTGTAATATCTAAGATTTTTCTACAAATTTTGTAAATTCTTGAAATTTTGAAGAAAGTTTTCAATATTTTTTTGAAGTCTTTTGCATTTTATTCTAAAATATACAATTTCTTAAAGTCTTTTATGTACTTCTACTAATTTTATAAGTTGGTTTTTCTTGTAAAATCTTCAAAAGATTTTTTTGAGTATTTCTAAGAGTTGCATAAACTCTATGGATTTTGGATTTTTTTTCTTGTTTGGCCACTCACACATAATATATATTTGTCTCCTTTATTATGAAGATAATTTCATAGGTGAGAATTGTTTATGTCTAGAATCACACAACCAATAGGGGAGAGGTTGTCTACCGAGGGAGGATGATAAAGGATAAAGGGGTCAACTTGTAAAACCCCAATAATTTATGAATAATAAAGTTTATGTGTGATAAATTATGATATGTGGATATTTAGTATGATAAATATCATTAAATGGTATAATACCATGTGTTTTGAGTATGAACGAGTTCATACATGAGAGATAGAAGTGTTGAAACATGCACATATGGCCAACTCATTGAGAATCTGGGAAATCCTAGTCCGGTCGACCGTCGCGGTCCACCGCAGCCCGGTCGACCGCCACGGTCCACCGCGATACCTGCGGTTTGTTTTTTTCTCCTATTTTGAGTTGGTTTCGGATTTCTAAACCCATATTTATTTTCCCCTGATATATATATGAGTTTTTCATGATTTTCTCAGTTTTCCTAAGAATGTTAATAGCCACCAAAACCCCCAAACCCTAGTTTGATTTCTTAGAGAAGATTGAAGGCTTTCAAGTGGAATTTTCGGGTGATTCTTGGCTTTTGGAGTGGAGTTTTCTTTCAACCTTGCTTCTAACACGTTTTACTACAACCAAAGGCGAGTATCATCTCTACTAATCTCCCTCCCGGTTTTTAAAACGTTTTTAAAGAGATTTAAACATGTTTTATAGAGCCTAAACGAATAGATTATGTATAAAAGACAATTCTTTTGTATTATATGTATAAAGATTAGGTCTTTTCATGCTAAAAAGGTTAAGAACATTTTCACAGATGTGATTTAGATCTGATGATGATTCTAAAATGTGGTTAAACTAAAGAAAGAAGTTTGATTTGTTGTTTGGAGCTTTTATGCATGTTTTAGGGTTTTGAATATAAATCTAATGCATAAAATCATGATTTATATATGTTGATTTATTTCCAGATAATTCTATCCACTGTACCATGCTTGTATGCAAGTTTCATGAAGTTTTTATCATGTTTGAATCACGAAAACACGACGAGAACACAACATGTTATAATCTGGAGAAAGTGGAAACAGGGTTCACGGTCGACCGCCATGGTCGACCGCGTGTAGGACAGAGACCTGGGTAGTCTCTGGAGCCCGTCGCGGTCGACCGCCACGGTCAACCGCCAGTTGGTTTTGGCTGTGTATGTTTACTTGAGGTTTTTTTCGGTTGTCGAACAAATTTCTCGACCCTATGATGATAGACTATGACATTAGTGGTTGTTAAACACCTGGGATGATGGTGAACTTCAGATGTGGACACGCACACCGAGATTTGTGCATGTATGCTAGATTGTGTTAGATCGACACACACTTGACATGAGATCTATAGATTGATAAACACATATTGAATAATGTTGTCTTATACGTATCCGGAAATAGGGAGATGAAAACTATTTGCTGTAGAACGATTGAGTAAGAGTATTACAAAAGTATCATTATTACATGCATCCGGAATAGGGAGATAATAAATCCTATTGTCGCAGAGCGATTGAGTAAGAGCATTACAAAAGTATCGCTATCGTACAAGATGATGCACACATAAATATTTGATCAGTTATGTTTTGTACTTCCATGATAGACTACCCGTGAGTAGGGTATTTATGTTGAGATTTTTGGCACACCCGTTATGAGCGGCAGATATATTTCGTTTTGTTTTAGCTGACATCCTCTTATATTAGAGCAGGCTACTCGGATGTACTTCGAGATGAGATACTTATTCCTTATGTTGGAGATTGGAGTACTTTTCCTTGACCATTGTTTTTCCTTCATGAAGAATTTTATGAATGATTTGATATATGAATATAATGACTCTATTTTTCTATTTTCTCCTACCCCTTCCCCTAGGGAGAGGTAGTGATGATCTCGCTAGCGCTTTGATGCTCATTGTTTCCCCTCTTTCAGGCAGCGAGTCCGGCGCACGGAGAGTCGCAGGTTGATGGGACATCTTAGTTATCCGTTTAGCTATTTATTATATTTTGTAGTCTTTTCAGAACTCCACATGTAGTTGGTTATTTTTCAGACTCTAGATTAGTATTTTATTTTAGAGTTGAGAACTCTTGTGAGACTTCGTTTATTTGACTTATTGTATTTGAGACTCGGTTCAGACTCAGAGATATATCTATTTTCTTTCCAGTTGGACTCATTATTAATATTTCTTATGTTTCTTCTGTGTATACTCGGTATTGTTCTATTTCTAGTTTTGCCTATCTGTACCTTCATCTATTTATTGTTTCCACTAGAGAGATAACGATTGTGATGGTGAAACATGTCGTAGCATGGTGTTTAGTGCTTGGTAGGTTTGACGATCTGGGTTTCACCTGGGACTGTAGCCTTGTGTGAACCCTAGGGCGTCACAGTTGGTATCAGAGCTCTAGTTCCTATATCCTGTATCATGTGTGGAGTTTAAGAATAGAGTTTCCTAGGGATCATATATAACAGTCCGCTAGGAATCCCTTAGCATCGAGTGAGGACCGTACTATAACATAGGTATGTACGCGGAAAATCATTTTTTTTATGATGATCTATTTGCTTTGAATAATAAAGCATGATATGAGATATATGTGATACGGTTTACTTATTGGTATATGTTATATGCTTCATGTTTGAGATCCTATTTGCTGCGTAATAATCTTTATTTTGAAATTATAGATGTCAGGAAGAGGTCGTGGACGCCGAGTTTCTCATGCTCAGGGAGTTGGGCAGGAAGATAGGGAGCCCGAGCCACAGCAGGCTCTGCAGTACTTAGTGGATCTCATAGCACTATTGGCAGCTCGTATGGCGGCTATTGAGGAGCAGTTAAAAGCCCAGGTTCGTCAAGAGCCTTCCGTTCATGAAGAGGTACTCGTTCAGGAGTCATCTATTCGAGAGGAAATACCAGAGAGGGAACCAGTGGTCCCACCGACACCACCAGTTGAGGACGGAGCAGCTGATCAGGAGGCTTGGCTTCGTTTAGTTGAGAGGTATCAGAAGTTGAAAGCACCAGAGTTCCACGGTTCGACGGATTCCATTGCTGCACACAAGTGGAAAGAGGATGTGAGTAACATCTTGGATATGCTGAATGTTAATTCGGTGCAGAAGCAGAGGCTAGCGGCTTTTAGCCTCAAGGGAGATGCAGGAGGATGGTACCGACTTCGCTTCACCCCAGAGCAGAAGATGACGGTTTCGTGGGAGACCTTCATATATCTTTTTGATGAGCAGTATGTTTCGGCTGCAGTGAAAGCCGAAAAGGAGTTAGAGTTGGCTCGTTTAGAGCAGGGGGATATGTCTGTCATGGACTGTAAGAGTAAGTTCATGTCGTTGCATAGATTCACCGGTATGTGGCACACAGAGGAGCGTCAGGCTCAGATGTTTTTGATGGGACTTCGTCCGGGGTTGCGTCGGTACATAGTATCTCAGGGATTTCGTTCAGATCAGGAGGTAGCAGATGCTGCCATGGCTCAGGAGACGGATACAGCCTATTTTATCAAGGGTAAGGACAACGGTAAGTCAGGACAGCCCGAGGACAAAGGAAAGGGTAAGAGACCATTTGGAGGCTCAGGAGGGCCCCACCAGCAGAGCAAGGGTCCGCATCAGCAGGGTCCCCATAAGAAGGGACATCAGCAGGACCAGAGAGCGCAGCAGCAGTGCCGATTCCAGGGAGCTTGTTACAATTGTAACAAGATTGGGCACCGAGCGGCCGAGTGCCGCAGCGCACCCACAGCAGGCCAGCAGGGCAGGACACAGTAGCAGCAGTAGCAGAACCGCGCTCAGGGACGCGGTCAGGGCTCGTAGCTGAGGATAGAGGTACCTCCAGCAGTCCCGAGGATTGAGGGACAGGTTCGAGCAGTTCAGGAGACCCAGCAGAGGCAGATGGCACCATACACTTCAGGTGATGCAGAGCAGCAAACCGGAAGAGTGTATGCAGTGGTTCCTCGCTATCATGGCGCGAGCGGAGCTGTGGTGGAAGGTACATTCCGTGTGAATTCCTTTCCAGCATGCATTCTTTTTTATTCTGGCGCTTCGCATTCTTTTATCTCCTATGATTTTTCAACTAGACTTTGGCTTGTAGCTCAGCCGTTAGATTTCCCTTTATCTGTATCTACTCCATTGGGAGAGATGTCTCAGTTAGAGAGTGTTTGTATGAGATGCATCGTCAGCTTGGACGATTCTGAGTTCGCGATTGATTTAATCGTATTGAATATGTTTGAATTTGATGTGATTCTTGGTATGGATTGGCTATCTTCCTACCATGTGAGTATCGACTGTTTTGTGAAAACAGTCAGTTTGAGAGCATATGATGGATCAGAGTTAGTGGTAGCCACCTCCAGAGGCAACCAGTTTGCGGAGTCATTTCTGGCATACGTAGAGGAGGTGATATTACGGGATCGGAGTGCAGATTTGAGTGAGATGCGAGTAGTCTCAGATTTCCAGGATGTCTTCCAGGACATACCAGGATTACCTCCAGTGAGAGAGGTCGAGTTTTGCATAGAGTTGCAGCCAGGCACCGCACCGATTTCCCGAGCTCCCTATCGTATGGCGCCTGCTGAGATGAGGGAGCTACAGATCCAGATCGATGAGTTATTGTCTTAGGGCTTCATTCGACGGAGTCATTCTTCGTGGGGAGCACCGGTCCTTTTTGTGAAGAAGAAGGACGGGAGTATGCGAATATGTATAGATTATCGCGAGTTGAACAAGGTCACTATCCGTAACCGGTACCCATTACCGAGGATCGATGACTTGTTCGATCAGTTGCAGGGAGCGCAGTGTTTCTCAAAGATAGATCTTCGCTCCGGTTATCATCAGTTGCAAGTTTGGGAGATGGATATTCCCAAGACCGCTTTCTTGACTCGATATGGGTCTTTCGAGTTTCTCGTCATGCCGTTTGGGCTGACCAATGCACCTGCGGTATTCATGGATTTGATGAATCGGGTTTTTCGTCCTTACTTGGACCAGTTTGTGATAGTCTTCATCGACGATATTCTTATCTACTCAATGTCGGAGGCAGAGCACGAGCAGCATTTGAGGTTAGCATTACAGATATTGAGAGAGCACCAGTTGTATGCTAAGTTTAGCAAGCGTGAATTCTGGTTATCAGAGGTCAGATTTTTAGGCCATGTTATTAGCCGAGAGGGTATTATAGTGGATCCGGCTAAGGTAGAAGCCGTACTTGATTGGGAGCCACCGAAGACAGTTATCGAGATTCGTAGCTTCTTAGGCCTGGCAGGCTATTACAGAAAATTCATTCAGGATTTCTCGAGGATTTCCACACCACTTACACGCCTTACTAAGAAGGGTGTACAGTTCATTTAGAGCATAGAGTGCCAGAAGGCATTTGAGACATTGAAGACTAAGTTGACTTTAGCACCAGTTTTGGTTATTCCTAGCAGTGATAAGACTTTTGTTGTCTACACTGATGCATCCTTATCGGGTCTTGGCGGTGTATTGATGCAGACCCAGAGAGTCGTAGCCTATATTTCGAGTTAGCTGAGGACTCATGAGCAGAATTATCCCACGCACGATTTGGAGTTAGCAGCAGTGGTCTTTGCACTGAAGGCGTGGAGACATTATTTGTACGGAGTGTAGTTTGAGTTATTCACAGATCACCAGAGCCTAAAGTACCTCTTCTCATAGAAAGAACTTAACCAGAGGCAACGGCGATGGGTAGAGTTTATTAAGGATTATGAATTTGCTATTCAGTATCATCCGGGAAAGGCGAATGTGGTAGCAGACGCGTTGAGCAGGAAGCGTCGTCGCGGTCTAGCAGCTTTGAGGTGTTCACTATATCGGGATCTTTATACCCTTAGCCATTTTGATTTCAGGCCAGAGATTGGCGGGAGCCGCGTATTCTTAGGGGCGTTATCTGTACAGCCATCTTGGAGAAATAGAGTAGTCGGAGCTCAGTTAGAGGACTCTTGGATTCAAACCCGCAAGGGGGAGATCTCCAAAGAACCCAATGATGATTGGACTATTGGAGTAGATGGAGGCTTTAGGATGAAGGGCAAGATCGTTATGCCGAACAATCTACAGCTGAAGAGGAAACTATTTGACGAAGCTCATCGCAGTAGATATACAGTGCACCCAGGCACGATGAAAATGTATAAGGATCTGAAGAGGCATTTTTGGTAGAGCAGTATGCGCAGAGAGATTGCAGATTATGTGACTAAGTGTTTCACCTGCCAACAAGTTAAGGCAGAACATCAGAGACCTGCAGTAACCCTGCAGCCTTTACCCATTCCCGAGTGGAAGTGGGCAGATATTTCCATGGATTTCATAGTGGGGTTGCCCAAGTCAAAGAAAGGAAATGATTTTATTTGGGTTATAGTGGACAGATTGACTAAGTCTGCACATTTCTTACCTGTGAGGACGACTTATACGGCAGATACGTATGCGAGGATCTTTATTCGGGAGATTGTTAGATTGCATGGAGTTCCGGAGACGATTGTATCAGATCGGGGCTCAGTCTTCATATCTTATTTTTGGAGGAGTTTCCAGGATGCTTTTGGCAATCAGTTGTCATTTAGCAGTGTTTTTCACCCCCAGACAGATGGGCAGACCGAGAGAGTGAATCAGATCTTGGAGGACATGCTGAGAGCATGCGTTATAGATTTTTAGGGTAGCTGGGAGGAGCACATCCCACTGATTGAATTTGCATATAATAACAGTTATCAAGCTACCATCAGGATGGCACCGTATGAAGCTTTGTACGGGAGACCTTGCAAATCACCTATATATTGGGCAGAGCCAGATGATAGTCTATTGATTGGACCAGAGTTAGTTAGACAGACCACAGAGAAGGTGGCATTGATTCGAGAGTGCATTCTCGCGGTGCAGAGTCGACAGAAGAGCTATGCAGATCAGTGAAGACGACCTTTAGAATTCCAGATCGGAGACTCAGTCATGTTAAAAGTAACACCGATGAAGGGCGTTCAGCAATTCGGTAGATGGGGGAAGCATTCCCCGAGATATGTTGGTCCTTTCAGGATCATTGAGCGCATTGGTGCTGTTTCTTACAGATTAGATCTTTCAGCATCGATGTCGAGTGTACACGATGTCTTTCATATTTCGATGCTTAAGAAGCATCTGCAGGATAATGAGCAGAAGAGAGTTATTGACTCACCAGAGATTGAAATTCAGGATGATTTGACTACCGTAGAGGTACCGGTATGCATACTTGCTAGAGAGAATAAAAAGCTTAGAAATAAAGTCATTCCATTAGTGAAAGTTTAGTGGAACCAGTAAGGAACCGAAGAGATTTCTTGGGAGCGCGAGGAGGATGTTCGTCGCGACTACCCGCACCTGTTTGGACAGGTATGATGTTAATGTGCTTATATGACTTGATAGTTGTCGTTATCTATGATTATTTAGCCACATTTATATTTATCTTTAACACTAGAATGGGGATATTTTTGCCTAATCCTTAATCAATTGAATTACATAGTATATACATGAGGGTTTCCTTGTTTGGATTATTTCGCTTGACGTACCGTTTTTATTTAGTTAAGGATTTAGGTAAGAATGTTTGCATTCTAGGTTGTTAACTTTAAATATCATTGTGTTGATGCATTGTGATGTGTGCAGAAGGAATTCTTAATATGAATTACACCTTCTGAATGTGTTTTCCCAGTTTTTGAGCTTTGAGATGCAGCTGCGGAATTTCGAGGAGGAAATCCTCTTAAGGGGGGGTGAATGTAAAACCCCGTTAATTTATGAATAATAAAGTTTATGTATGATAAATTATGATATGTGGATATTTAGTATGATAAATATCATTAAATGGTATAATACCATGTGTTTTGAGTATGAACGAGTTCATACATGAGAGATAGAAGTGTTGAAACATGCACATATGGCCAACTCATGAGAATCTGGGAAATCCCAGTCCGGTCGCCCGCAGCCCGGTCAACCGCCACGGTCCAGCAGAGGACAAGGAAAGGGGTAAGAGACCATTTCGGGAGCCCTCAGGAAGGAGGCGCCACAGCAGAGCAAGTCCGCTATCAGCAGAGGTCCCCATTAAAGAGGCATCAGCAGGGCAGAGAGCGGCGGGGTCAAGCAGTGGCCGATTCCAGGGAGTTGTTAACAATTCGTAAAAGACTTGCGGCACCGACGGCGGACACGAGTGCCGCAGCGCTGACCGCGCAGCAGGCCAGCCGCAGGACCATAGCCAGAGCAGGCAGCCCATACACGTGCTCAGGGACGTGAGTCGAAGGTCAGCGGCTGAAGCGAATTGAGGCCCTCCGCAGTCCCGGAGGAGTTGAGACAGGTCGTCGCAGCGATTCAGGCAGATCCCCGCAGAGGCAGATTGCCTCATACACTATCAGGGTGTATGCCCAGAGCCAGCAATCGGAAGTATGTGTATGCAGTGGTTCCTCAGCTATTCATGGTTGGCTGAGCGCAGCTGTGTGGGATGGAAGGTCATTCCGTGGTGGAATTCCTTGCTCCAGCAGCATTCTTTTTTATTCTGGGGCGCTTCGAATCTCATTTTATGTCTCCTTATGAATATTTTCAACTAGTTTGGCTTGTAGGCTCAGCCCGTTAGGATTTCCCTTGTTCAATCATGGCGTGTGTAATATATACTCATTGGGCGAGAAGATGTCTCAGGTTAGAGGAGTGTGTGGCTATGAGACATGCATCGTCAGCTTGGACGACTTCTGAGTTCGCGAATTGATTTAATCGTATTGAATATGTTTGAATTATGATGTGATTTCTTGGTCTATGGATTGGCTATCTTACCTACCATGGCTGATGAG